CTTTATTCATTCAGTCAATCAATGAAATGGAAATTGTCTCTATTTATTACTCCATTTCGGCATTTCGTTTTTCGCCCGCATCTTAACATCATCTGCTGATTTCTGCAGTTTCCATTTCCTACACTTTTTGTTTCACGTAAATGTCGAGTGATGGCTCAATCTTTGATACAACGAAAAACTTTTTGCAAATGTGGATGGCATTAAAGGAGGAGGATCGTGCAAATAATATAACTGCTGAAGCAAGTAAAGATATAGCAATAATGCAGAAGCAATTTTAACTGATGCCAAATGTGTCACTTTTGAAGAAAAAATATTGTAAAAAAAAGTTACATTGTAATTATTTTTAATAAAAAATTATTGAACAAAGCTTGCAGATGAACTTTTAACGAAATGGGTCACCATTTACAGCACTTTATTATTATTATAGGAAATTATAAATAAAAAAATAATTATATTTCTGCCTGTCTATATATATAAACATCATTGATAAAACATATTTTTTTCTTGAATTATGTCCTGCCAAGACAACAACAATATTTATTAACAAGGCAACTGGGTTATGTTGTGTATTATGTTGTACCAGGACTTTTATTAAATGTGGCAAAAAAACGAAAAAAATTTTATTTTTAATTTACTAATTAAATAAATGTATCCGACCCCCAACAGCCATTATTATCCATTATTAGCTCTTAAATCTCTTAAATTGTCGTTTCTAAATATAAAAGATAGATTTGATCAATCAAAAACATTTTTGAAAATCACGTTTATATTTAATACTAATTCAAAAATAAAAAACCCTGAATGTAACGAACGCTGGTTATGTTAAATCTTTTAACTAATTTGTCACCTTTATGGTTTTTTTTTTGTTTTTAAAGTTTAAAAAAATCCCAAATTATGTCGTTGTTTTAATGTTTAATATTATATTAATATTAATGAATACTAATTGATTAACGAAAAACTGTAATGAAATGGAGTAATAAATAGAGACAATTTCCATTTCATTGATTGACTGAATGAATAAAGGAATTATATTAGTATACAAAATGAGCTCACAAGAAAATAAAAACCGATTCGTATGAAGAAAAAGAGGTACATGGATGGGTGTGATTATATGCAGCAAAAACCTTCAACTTCTCGTATCAAACTTGTTATCATATTTTTATCTTGACAATAATTCAAGGTGGGAATGGAATAATAATTTATGGTTATTGTAGTACTACTACTACTACCACGTTTAAAAATATTATTTCAAATTCTCTTGAAAGTTTAAAATATTGAATAAAAACTC